GAAAGTTTTTTTTAGGTTTCGTGTTTAAACATTTTTCGAGAAGTTGTTTTTATTCTACCCCATTCATTTGACCAACGTTTGACACTATAATGTATTAAAGACTGTACAGAAAATCAATTAATTTTTTTTTATAACTTCGCATATACTTATTGTAGTACGTAAACAGCAAAATACTTGAAACTATACTGTGCTTCATTTACAGTTTGGAATGAAACTGAGTGGATAATTGAAATCTCGTTAATATTTATTTCACCAAAACTCCTTTCAACCATAATTTTCGAATTTGATTCAGTTCGAAATTAAAACAATTTTTTTGCAATATCGAAATACATGTCATTTGCTCATGGTAAGGTTATACTTTGATAAAATGTTCTTGTGTAACTTGTTTTTGATTATCGAACTAGTTTTAGGTTAAAACTTTTAACTGCAATTAAAATTGAATAGGTAAAAATGCTGAAACAAGACAATAATATGTTCTCAGCAGGGGCCGAGGGATTCGATGACGTATGCGTTCAGTTAAAATAAATGAAAAACTAGCTCGCATTGTAAATAAATCTGATACATACACGAGAAGGAAAATAAAAGTCAAATGTATTTTCAATCTCGTTTAAGTTTCAGAATTGTTTTCAACGCAAGATAGTAAAAATAATAATAATAGAAAATAAAATAACTCTCAATTCTTTAACATCGCGATGGGCGAATCCCTCACCCCCAGGGGGGTCGGGGGTCATTACTTCTTCACCAATGATTTTTTTTACTCGAAACCTCGAAATTCGGAATCAGCATCCCAAATTATCCTAAAAAAGATATTTGTCTCGTGCCCACTCACCCCAAGTCTCCCAACAATTCAGAGCCCCCCATTAGGGTAAAATGATAAAAAGTCGATTTTTCACTTTTTGGGCGCGGAATTTCGCACTCAAATGTATGGCCAACTATAACTTATTTTATCCGAATATTTCATTTAGGCCATTGCCCATCCCCTCCCATCACTCCCAAGGGGGGTCCCCCTACAAAATTCAAGAAAATTTCGAAAAAAACCCGAAATTGGGTCCATACCCCATCTAACCCCAAAATTAATTACATATTCGCATTCCACGTAAAAAATTACCTATAGGCTCCATACATTGTCAATCTCTGTTGACCTATGTTTCACTCCATTTAACTTGAACCTTCGATTCGGGTCGAAAAGTGAAAATACCCCATTTCATTGTGACTTCACAATGGGATATTCACCCCTTCCCAAGTCAGTATAATACACTTTTCGAAGAGTGTACACGCTCTTCTCACACTCTTCGTATAGTTTTATTCGACTCCCTTCTCACACTCTTCTCACACTCTTCTCATTCCAGTGAAAGTAATGTTTGTATTTTGATATTTGAACGTTTTTGACGTTTATAGCATTCGTCAGTTGTGTCAAAATACAACAGAACAACAATTGCTGTTGCAACAGCAAATTCATTTTTTTTTGTATACGTTCATTTTTTTCAAAATGTCAAAAGTAAACAAAATCAAAAACTATCCATCAGTGGAAAAATTTATTATATGAGAAGAGTGTGAGAAGAGTGTGAGAATGGAGTCGAATAAAACTATACGAAGAGTGTGAGAAGAGTGTGTACACTCTTCGAAAAGTGTATTATACTGACTTGGGTTATGACTCAAATGGGCATACGGCTCTGAATTGTTGGGTTATAAAAAATTTCTCTCATCATTCTGAACAACTTTGTAGTACATTATTTTTTGATCAGATGAGGACATGGTTGGGTACTCCCCTGCCCCAAATTGGGAGCTTGGGCACCCCACATTTTCACAAATTTATTTTCTCAGTATATTCTAAACAGGGCAACCATGCCCAGTTCAATCGGTGAGTAACACTATGGGAGCATTACTGGTTAGCATTATTAAAAGTTGTATTTCGGAATCGTTATTCCACTGGAAACTAGGAATTGACGAAACGCTTCTTACGGGAAAGTACACATCCACGTTTTTTCGTCTTGGTCCAAGGAATCTGTGGTAAAAAGGTTTTCTTGCAAACAGTCTGTATTTCCATCGACCGTAAATACCTAATTATTTATTTATTTGGTTTTAACGTCTACTAATCATTAATATAAAAAAAGAGTTCGACGTTTGCAAGAAATGTGTGAATGAAGGTATATACAAATACATGCGTATTAACATGTGTCGTTTTTTGAATTGGCTTTTATCATGATTTTTGTAAAAATCAAAAAGTTTTATTGTTTACATTTAATTAATAATTTTCAGACTTCCCCAAACGTAAGCGAATGAACATGTTGATTTCAAACTCGACCACAATTTACAAATACAAAATTTGAATGATGAGATTTTTTTATAAAACTCTGTATGGGTGTGCGGATGAAAGGAAAAAAAAGTGAATTATTTTCTTTAAAAGAAACAACTTAATATACGTTTAATTATTACAATTGATTGTGAACGTTAGCGAAAAGAAGACCAACAATCAAAGATTTTACTTTGATGCACACACCACTGGGTGCAGCAAAGCATTGTAACTAGGACCCAGACTGGGTCACCTGGAGTGATTGCCAATGAGAAAAAAAATTATTTCGTGAGAAAGGTAACTAAAACAGAAATGTCTTCCAGAAATTAGAATTTGGTGTTTATTAAAGAGGTCACACTACTAGTGAATGTTCAATCTCGTTTAGAAAATAAATACTTTTTCGATAAAGAAAGCAATTTGGAAAAGTCAGACTTATCGATGTAAGTTCCTTTTTATTTATTATGATTTGCAGCTTGTAAAACAATGAAAAAAAATCATCTTTTTTGTTCGCCCGTTTTCACTATCTATATATGCTACTATACATATTGTGTGTTATGCTGCTTTAATAGACCGAAGATGCGTCGGCGGCAACGGCAATGACTGCTAATCTTCATCAGTAAACGCATTTAAATTTTACTTTAATATACGAAACAAACAATTGGATTAGGCTAGCGCGCAATTGTATTTGTAAAATATGCTTGTTATTCAAGAGTGAGTGAAAAAGAGGGAGATAGAGAAAAATCTTTCCAATGACCTTAACATTGCGGTTGTTCACGTTTGTGCGGTGAAAACGATTTATTTTTATGTCCATAAGTGCGTTTGGTTGTAGGTTCATCAACATTTCCATTTCAATTTGAAATTGTAAGGAAAACGCATATGAAATGCAAATTTTCTTTTCTTTTTATTGATACAATTACAAATGAAGTAAACAAACGATGCAATGTCGATTTTTTTTTTTAAATATCAAAACTAAACAATGAATATTTAAAAAAGTGGGAAATATCCATTTGATTAAACACAGAATATGGCTAATACATTTATATCCGTCTCTGATTTCATTTCATAAATCGATCAACGTGAACAGAGAACATCGTTTACCATTTAATGAAGAAACGCCGATTTTTTTTTTTAGAATAAAATCTATTTAAATTGAATGTTGACTATACGCTTTTGATAACTTCTTGAACCTGGAAACATTTCTTTTTTGATAACATCGTTTTAAAGTTGTTGGTGTTAAAGTCAATACATCACGTAGCGATCATCAATTTTACAATGGCATAAAGGCAAAGAGATATCTCTCAAATTTCGTGTGTTTTATCTCAAAATCCGACTTTTCATCATATGTATTGTTTATTTTTACTTTTATTTTTTCATTTTCGCATTTTTACCGAATAACCGCAAAACGTTATGGGGGGTTTGTCACAAACCGGGTGGTTCATTATGTTACAAGGAGTACATGATTTTATTTTTAATGAAGTGAAAGGTGCTTCTGGTCCTTATTCTTTTATATGTGGTAACACAGCCGCAACTCAACCACATAATTGTTTACGTACTAAGGTGTTAATACGACGGATGAAGAAGAAGAAGAACCATATTTCACTCAAACATTACCTATAAATAACACATGCGATTCACCACCACGTGAGTATCCCAAAGATTTTTGCGGGGGTGGCCAAAATCCAGAGGAGTCTGGGCAAAGTGTAAGAAGTTCACAAGTGATTTTTGATTGCATTCGAATCGAAAATTTATGACCGAGGTGGAGATTTTTCGTCAAAAGATCGAAAGAGTTTTTCAAAATTGTATTCTATGTTCTGAAAAATGGCTTTCAAAAATGTCGTTTTTGATGTGAATCAAATTGAACACATCGATTTGGACGAAATCAAAACGATTGATACGGTAAAAGTGTAACTCTTAAATTAAGAGTCTTAATAATAAAAGAAAACCGATTTATAAAGAAGATTGTTGTTTGCACACCCTGTGCACATTCAAGTACGTCTCTCAAGAGAATTACAAAGTAACTCAGTTAAGTTGATTTTTATAAAAATGCAAACGTAAAAACGAAAGAAGCGAAAGAAAAAAAAGCAGTCGATTTTTCTCTCAGTTTTATTATTTCTTTTGAAGAATGTTGACTGTAAATTGCATGTATTGTGTTTGGTTTGGTTTGCTATTGAATGAAACACGCATGCTCATCCGTTGTTGTTTTATCTACTAATTATCTGCAGTTGCAGCGTGCTATGCAGTTCATGGGTATTCAATATGCTATGAGCGCTCTGTTATGGGCTAAATTGAGTCGCACAAAATATGCGAAGCATTACGATTGTTGAATTGATTATTTCTCTAGAGTGCAACAAATTTTTTCAGCGGCGCAGCTGAAAAAAAAACTACTTGCACAAACACACATACACTGGAAATACCATTAGCAAATGCTGAACCATATAATCTATGAATCTGCTACAAAACAATTTCAATGCTCTGCAGATTCAGGTGTTTGTAACACCAACGCATATATATATATTCAACGAAGAAAAAAACAAATTGCAGATGCACATACATTTTCTTGGCGATGGATTTTCATTGTAGTAAAAGAAAAATCAAAAGAAACAACAACAAAGAGTTCGAGTGTTGGCGCCATTATATGCACACGATTAGATTTTTGTTTATAAAAGTGCAAGCACTTCATTTTTGGTGTACATTAGTTAATCATTCGCCGCGAACTAAACAACAATATCGTTAAGATTTTGAGCCATAAACAAGTTGTTCAATTTTTTTTTTGTATTGAACATCTGCTATCAAACAATATTTTTTCATTCTTTTGGAAGCAAAAAAAAACTAAAGAAAATTTCAAACGCTGTACCGAACATTGAACTCTGTGTTGACTTTGGAACATTTAATCATTTTATCTTGCTTGTGATTTGATCCGGTTTGATTGATTTGTATCTACATATAAGATATAGAAGTTTCAGCTGAATATTAACGCATTCACACAAATACTCAATAAAAGATAGTGTACTACATCGAATTTATACGATACAATTTTGTCAAAAAAAAAACTTTTAACAATTGTGACAGAGTGGTGATTTTTGATCGTGGGATACATTTATAAATTATTGTGTGCACGCTTAGTGTTTTTGATTTTGTTGTTGTCACTGGAATTTTGTCAATGTGAATGAACAAATTGATTAAAGATCATCGAGAGTGTTTTCACTCACTTTGAAATTGTTTGATTTAAATATCTTGGAAGCGACACAGGGACCATTATTCGGACATTATGTATGAGAAATATTTCAAATGTATATTTCTTCTTACCATATGCATTGGATGCAAAGCAAACAACGTTAGCAAGTAAGTTATGACAGAAAATCTCATTTTGTTTCTTCAATTTGATTAATTTGGATTGAAATTATATAGCGAAGTAGGATTTATAGAAATTTGTAATGTTTAATGCCCCAAAATCCACTTTGACTGACTTTATCGATCCAAATTTTAGTTCATTAAATACCAATATAGAATGAGATATCGCTAGTTAGTTTCGATTTGTTTGACTTATCGCTTAAGATGCGTTACAATTGTAATCATATTGTTTATATTAATTGAAAACGAAAGGCTGAAATATAAAAAAAATTCTCTGTGAATATGGTTTATTAATTGCAGCGAAACGCGAAACGATTTTGATTTGCAGCTAGAAAGAAATAAAATTCACAAAGCGAATGATTTTGATGTTGGACCAATTAAAAGCGTGCATCAGGCCGTTGATCACACTAATGACAATTCACTTTGCACAGAGATATGAGAGAATTCACGATTCACGCGAAAAGATAAAATGGAAAGTTTGATGTGATAATGAAAACAATGCTGAGTGTTGAAGAGCAGATGGATTCATTATTATTATGTCAGAACACAGTGGAATTAATAAAGTTTGAGTCTCAGTATGTTTTTTGACACACCCAAACACACACACACAAACACACACACACACACACATACATATATCGACCAAAGAGTGACTTATAAAAATACAACAACCTAACATACCTCTCTCTCTCTCTCTCTCTCTTCGCTCTTCTATTTATATTTCATTCATAAATTAAACAATTGAACAAAACGAGATAACGCTGTACATAAATGAATCTCGTACACATTTGTCAGAATGTTTTAAATTTTCATCTCAAGTTCATCGCAACACATCTTTTTCCATTTATGTCCAAATAAATCTCATCGAATTACCATAATTACGAAATCAATTTCAATCTTTATGATTTTGCCACGTTAAGCGAAAGGTGTAATCGGTGATATTCTATTTAATATTTAACTGTTCAGACATAGAGAGAGACGGCACATGTCTGTCGCTCTCTGTGTATCCAAAGTAAAAGTTTTGTATATTCGTTAATCAATAAAGAGATAGTCAAGCGGAAAACAAAATGAACATAAATGAATCACATAATTTTATTTAATGTTTTTATTGGCATTTTGTTTCCCATTCAAAAACTCATTTTACGTTTGTCTCTGCATATTTAAAAATGTAATCCGATTTACGAGGTGAGCATCGTGTTTTTTTTCTTCGTCTCATTTGAGTTGTTGTTCAATTTTTTATTTCTCATATCGTTATTTTGCTTTATAATTATTATGTGGTATTTAAAATGGTCAGCACTTCCAATATGTCGAGATAGTTGTGCTCTTTACCTCCCCTTTCTCTCTCGATTTTATGTACGGAAAAAAAGTCAAAGTCAGCAAACAATTATTACGAAAGCGAAAAAGTCACATTCTAAATGTGTTGCATGTATTCAACATCGACGACACCGAGAACCAATCGATTCAATTGCGGTACTTCATATATAGCTGGACAGAGAAATTCGAATACAGTCATGACTTAATTTAATTTTTTTTGTGTATGCCTTTCCAATCGAACCAATTGTATAGGTACATTTTCGACTCATTTATATAATATTGTTACATATTTCTCTCCTTTATGTTGTTAATACTTGTTTTTTTTTTTTTGTATTTTGTTTAAAATACAGACTGGATCATGCATCAAATTTTAAGCCACCACAATTGCTGCCACATGTGAAACAAGCATTCGAGCGTTCAGCCGAAGCATCGGTTGAACGAACTGATAAGAATGAGTCGCATTCTCATCATCAGCACTACTATATTGAACAACCATTGCAATCAACGCAGACGATTGCCAGCACCGGTACCAATGGAATTGTTCAAAAACATCGTAAAATTGCATACAAACCACGCATAGGCGAGATTTTAGTAAAAGATTCGGTTTTGTATAACAGAGAAACGCCTATAAGTAGTCAACAGGCGCATAAGATTGCAGCAACACGCCGTAATTATTGGCCATTGGTAGATAATACGGTGACATCGATAGCATCAAATGCGGCCGCCGGTGCGAATGCCGTGAAAAATTTACTCAAAGTTGGTTTTTTCCAAACATTTGACAATGTAAATGCAGCGGTTGAACATAAAAAACATAAAATCGCCAGCTATATAATTCAAGCGGCTCAAGAGCATAAAATTGCAATGCAACAGGCTAAAGAAGATGAAAAATATAAACAACAATTTAAATTGGCAGACGTAACACAATCGATACCATTGTCAAATCAAGTGCCGCATCCATTGTTGCCACTTGCAAAACCGCTACAACAATTGCTACCGTTGAAGCAAAAATTGGCACAAAATGTGGTACAACATTTGTCAAAGCATTTGAAAAAACCAATTAAAAAACCATTTATTTCACCACCATGGATCGTTTATAGTAAGACAAAGACATTGCCAACGACCACCGTTTCCGATGGATACATTCATACATTTGACAATAAATATATGCCACCAAATTTTGATGGTCCCAGAGAAAGAAATCCATATGCCGATATGGGTGTGACAAGTTACAAACACTTTGAAGACACCATTCTTAAAGAATTGGAAGAGAAAGAAGAGCGAAAAGTTGAAGCAACCATGCATACATTACTGGATGATCAATATGTTATCCATGATTCACTGGAGGGAACGAAACCGGGCAGCAGTCAAGAATGGCAACCGTTTAATGCACATGATAATGGTCTATTTACAACGTCAACGAAACCAGTTACCATCAATAGTTTTACACAAAGTACCTTTGATCGACCATTTAATGATGTTCGTCCAGTTTGTGAGCATCAAGACGATGTTTCCGTTCAACCAACACTCTTCGTTTTTCCAGCCAATGCTGAAACACATTTGAATGAATTGCAAGAGGCATCCAACGATAATACAGTGAAAGTAAAACTAACCGAATCAGATGCAATTCAAACGAATTCAACACGATCAAATAATTCAACAACAACCGAAAAACCAAATTATCCCGCTTATTTTATAAAGCAACAACAAGAATTACGGAAATTACAACAGAAATTGGTTGGCGCTTATCGCACAAAGAGTCAATATGGCAGCAAAACTACATCGGTACCGACGCGCGGTAGGCAAACTTCATATGGACGACGAACAACAACCACCACCACGACGACGATGGCAACCAATTCAATGACACCCACAACAACTGAAGCGCCTGTATACTTTTTCTCAATTAATGGCACCGATGATGGCTTCCGGCCAATGCTACCCGATCAAATCAACGCTATGAAAATTAAAAAACCAATTCGAATCAAATTGAACAATACATCAACATCGTCATCATCATCAAATCGTCCAAAATCTTGGATCCAGGCACAAGCAAGTCATGTACAACTTTCCGTCGTTGCTGCACCAAATGCAACAACAAAACGCGCCAAAGCAACAACGACGATCGGCTCAAGAAACGATATTAAATCATCATACACACGTAAAGCTCCGAAAAAACCAACCGTTACGACTGGCAACAAAAATAATTCAACAACGATAGCAAAATCAAATAAAAACACTTATCGTGGCTCTATAAAATTCGGTGATAGCTTGAACCAGTCACAAAATAGTTAAAGCGGTAATAATTTAACAATGAAAGAAAGAAAGAAGAAAAAGACGAAAGAAAATGAGAAAAATAAACAATATTTGCAATTAGTTTTATTTTAGAGTTCTTTGCACCATGTCTGAAACCACGTTTGCGTGCATTCAAAAACATAATACCTGAATAAAATTACAATAACGAACAAAAATCTCTCATGAAATGAAATCAGTCGTCCTCTGAGCGATTTTTCTCTGTTACTGAAATTATTTCAAAGAAACATACCGATGATAAAGATTCAATTGCTTGCTTTCATATATCGCTTTTTTCATTGTTTGTTTGTTTTTATTGTCGTTTTAAGAAAAATATTTTTAATTTGTATTTTAAGTTTGAACGTTTTTGTTTTTCGGCTACCTAAAAACTTGCAAACATTCTCTCACCAACTGGAAATGAAATAATGATGGACGAAATTCGATCGGGTTATTTTTTATTTGTATCTTTTTATCTTTTAAAAAAAGCAACAACAACATATTATTTATTTAATTTATATAAATGTGTCGCTCAATGTTTTGAGTCTGGTCAAAGACAAATGATAACACAACAACAAAAATTGTATAGATATTTGAATACAATAAAGTGTGAGAGATGCCTTTTAGACGGTCTTTATTTTCAAAGAACTAAATTATATGGCAACAATAATCGTCGACAATGGTGTAAGTATGTTTAAGCAGATGTCATAAAACTAGATTTAGTTTTTCGCTTGATTAGCCGAATCATAATGCAATAAAAAAAAGTGCTTTTATTGAGTGTGAATTATGAGTGCAATGCCGCTGGCAATCGCTACGGTCGCAAAGTTTTCAGTACAGATATAAATCTAAATACACAAAGCTCAGTTTGGTCGGTGAGTTTACTTAGTAATCGCTTTGATCTCTGAAAATGCATGTTTCACCTCTTTCTCCATTATTGTTTCTACCAATCAATGCACATGTTCATTTGTTTCCATTTTTTTTTCTTTTATGCACCACTCACCACTCATCGTCAAAATTAAATAAATTAAATTGCATAAAATGTGACCGCCATAGGTATATGTAATATAACTTTTCAATGCCTTTCGCCTCTATCTCGTCATTCCATCTCTTCACTTTCTCACTTCAGTTCATCGAATTTGTTTCATCTACGTAACGACTCGAGCCAATGATCATTTAAAATAAAGTGCACGTAGAATGGATTCATTTTTATAATGATGCAAGCAGCGAATTATTGTTTTTAATTAAACTCCAAAATTGATTCTTTTTCTTTTTATTCGGCACAACATTTTATGAGTAAATGACTTTTTATTCGAGACTGTTTTTTTGTATATTAATAATAATCGTGATATGACTGTTTCACTTTCAAACAAAACATTCCAAATATTTACGCATTTTCCCAATTTCTTGTAAATCAAACGATTTAATTGCCGAAAATCTCTCAGAAAATCTCATTTTCGTTTACTGTGGGAATTTGGTTGTCATCCGGAACTTGGAAGGTATACACCTGCTGCGTGTTATATTTGATTACGAAAGCCACTGGATGTGGGGCAGTAGACTTTCTTGCTATGTAAATTGAACAACATTTCAAATGAAACATGATTTACAGTAATTCAAAGGGAGCCCATCGTGGCATTACGTTGATGTCCAAATGTTGGATTTCAAATGAACACCCAAAAAACGATCCATTTCAATTGAATTGGAGTGAATCCATTCCTGACGTTATTTCATAAGATCGCATCGCAACGAAAAATCTATTTAAAATATATTAAATTTTTGTCTTTCGGCCGAAAAATAAACTCACGTAAAAGCAAACAATCACCCAAATTTGAATACTTTTTCCATTTTTGTCTTTCTATTTTATTTGTCTGTGATGCTTTTGATGTCATTCCGTGATCATTCAAACATTTATGCCAAAAAGAAACATTAGACGAAAACAGAGGAAATAATTTATGTAACGAATTTAATAAATACAAAGAGAAATGGATGATACACATGTTTTTTTTTTCTTCTTCAAATTGCTACCTTTAATAAGCGTCATTTTTGGAACCGTCCACTCATTAATGAAAAGAAGAAGAAGAAGCAAAAAAAATGTGCCGCACAAGAGTCACCTACAATGTTTATTGCACATGGTACGCCGCATAGTGTGCAGACTAGCTAAGGGGCTTAATTCAAAATTTCAACGACTGAATTCTATAATAATATCTAAACTAACTGATTTTTTCAGCAAACGAATGAATTCCAGTGGATTCTACGGCGATTTCATTCAAATATGTGAGATAGTGGTGAATAGCTTCTGCTGGTAATTACTGCAATATTTATATAAACCCGGTAATATGATGACTATTGTCCGTTCCTAAATCTACGACAACGCCATCTCTTGTTCCCCATCTGTTGCGAGTTTTTTAACCAACCAATATTGATTGGTTCAAATTAAATAGTTTAATATACATTCAAAAAGGGTTCAAGTCTAATCCCGACTATTTGAAAAATCCTCAGGTAAAATATTAAAACAAAACTTGAAACCATTTTTTTCGAATTCATTTTTTTAATTGTCGTCGATTTCATGGAGTAAAACATATAGAAACAATATATACAGACTATCATCACACTTTATAACAGAGGAACGAAACATACTGTGTATGAAAATACTTATACATGTGCGCATACAAATGATTTTAAAAATGGTTTCAATAATTTAAATGAGGATTTTTTCCAAAAAATGTAGGATTAAAATTAAATTCTTTTATTTTATTTTAAATTAAAGTGAAAATTTTGTCACAGAAATAGCTACTGGTGTGTAACCAAAGATGGCATTATATAACACACACATCACATATAAATATGTCAACGCAATTCCCGGTTAATTTATATTTTGTGTAACGAAATTGTAAATATTTTTTATATTTTTTTAATAAAAATTAATTTTATTTTCAATTTTGAGCGATTTTCTATCGAAAACAATCGGAAATATTGAAAAAATAATAAATTAAAAAATATTGCGGTTATCATAACCTCACTTTATTACTTTGACACATTTGATTCTATTCACACGAATTCACCGAACTCATCAATAACCACTCGATTCAAAAGTGTGAATTTACGTGAATTCCTGTGAATTTTTTGCCGTATTAAGCCCCTAGAGACTAGCACATTGCTTTTTCTTCAGTCTAATATGGCATCACGCTAATATAGATTGAAATCTATTCAAATGAACTCTGCTTGGCCATTTTCATCGTGTAACATAAATTGAAATACCGAGCCTAATTTCGAACTTAATAGGCCATTTGTTCACACAATTTTTATTACTTAAATTCATCACAATTCAAATGGGAACTCTTACAAATAATAATCAATTAGAATTAACATAAGGAGAATTAAGTGTTTTTACCATTCTTATTTCGCACGAAATATTTGCAAATTGCTTTACATAATCTATTGAAATTTAATTGGCCCGTTGAAAATGTCATACTTTACATTGCAAATTGAAAAGAAATAGACAATCATACACAGTACCAGCAAGTTCTTTGTTGCCAAAGTAATTTATCCCAAAAAAAGAAATGTCCAATTATGTATCGTTGTATATTGAAACAATTTCGCCATGGCAGTTGGAATGTGTTGAAAGGGTCAACGAAACATTTATGGTTTAGCGCTATTTTTTTTTGCTCTGATCAATCAAAATATATTTTTCATAACGACCGTATGTGAATGGAATCTTTTTTTTTGCTACCTTTCCTTCCGATCTAACATTTAGCCAATCATCAATATTCAGATTCGCTTTTCACAAATGAATTCCTCGCGCTAGCGCAGAGATAAAGTGAGAGTGAGAAAAAAATCTATTTCTGTGATAGTGCAGAAGAAAAAACTAATTTAAAATCAAAAATCGAGAATTCCTGATTATATTCCATTTAATATTTCGATGAGGTGGTGTTTTTTTTTGTTTGTTATCATCTCGCTTGAATTAAGCAGAAAAGAAAGTGAAATCGATGGATCTGTAGTGTTTGAGCATTTGATTTTTTCTTGTTGCTTTCATTGAATATCTTTGATGCAAGATACCTTCCTCTGTTTCAAACAACAATATTTAATGCGAACATTTTTTTTCAGCATGGATTTTTTGTTATTATTGTTCCGCCGTTCGTTTGGCTCTATTAAATTTGAATTTCAACTTAAATATATGCAATATTCATATAATAATGTTTAAGTTGAATTTTGTCACATTAAGAGCGTGTTGACGTTTAAAATATGCAAGCCCTGCGAAAGTTTAATCGATTCGACAGACAATTCGATGGTGCTTGATAACATCCGAGAGAAGGGAATAGTTTAATATCTTCTCTTTCTTCGTCGGTTTGTTGCTTGCGTTTTGTGTATCTTATTATAAAACAAATATATTCAATGCGTGCGTACGATGGTTTGCTTTTTTTATAAATTATTTGTCAAATTGTTTTTTTTTTTTTGCTGAAATCGAATAGGAAACAGCAAGTGGATCGTTTGCATTTTAAATTTTAAAATTGGAACAAAAAACAAACACACACACGTGGCGAAATGTATGGAAATTTTGGATTAAAATGCGCCTGCACCGGAAGTTTCATGATTTCGATTTTTTCGATCTAAAAAAAAACTCTTTGCACAAGAATGAAACTGAGCACTAAATCTGTTGATACTCATCGGCCCACCGATTTTTCGCATGCATTTTGAAAAATGTAAGGCCTCAGTCAATATTGATGGTAATTTTAATAAATTGAATGACACCAGCTGTCATATGTCGATAACATATGGCAATTGGCCAACTACTGTACATTTACCGTAAGATATTTATTGTGCGTTAGTTCCGGTGATTGTAATTTAGTGATTTGGTGTTGATTGATTTTGACATTTTATTAACGAAATACACATTCACTTCACTGAAATTCTTCTTCATACATGGATTTGGTTGCCGGTTGTTATTTTTTTTTTACTCTCCTGTAAAGTTCATTCTCATCGTGTCGAACAAAGAAAGTGATTATATGAATTCCGCTCCCGTAAATATACTCTCCGTATTGCTCTCTCTCTCTCTCTCTCTGTATTTTTTATATGCTCAAATATTGATTATGTAATATCATTTCTGGCCACATTCATGACAATTCGAACATGTGCTAAAAACTGATTACGTGAACCAATTAATTTAAACTAAACCAATACTGATTATTATGATTATTATAAAGGTAACTTTTAACAAGTCGCGTCTCGCTTAAGAAAAGTGCAAGTCTCGGAGCCAATTATTATGATATATTTTTTTTAATACTACACAACGCGTTCATCCTACATCATAACCATACATCAAAATTAACAGACTATCGTTGATTTGACTTGTGGCTATGAATTAGACTATAGCGAGATTTTGTCACTTTTATTGTTCAAATGGATCGCTTTATGTTTGGATGAATGTTTTTTTACATCATAATCCTCGGGTCTGTGCTTCTGTTCCACTCGCATATCAAAGCATACCAATATTACAGTAATTACCATCTGATTTACATGTTTGGCCGATGGGTAAAGTGTGTGTTTAATATTTTGTGTCTTTCTATTTTATGCAGAAAGTGATCGACTTTTCAACAACAACAATAACAAAAAAAATCCCAGATCCGAATATCATAATATCTAATGACATTATTATTATGATCAGATATCATTCGGAAACATCACAAATTAGTGCGATCTTTAAAATATTTGCTTGAAACGCAATGATTCCCGAATAGTACCAACAATATAAATCTGCGCTTGCTTCGCTGTTTTAGGTAGAGATTGTGCGTCATCAAGTTATGTGGTGGTGAGATGCCACCCAATACAAGTCCTTTTGGTGTGCCCATATGTCTGAAAGTGATAAATATTACGCGGATATGGCGTGTGATTGAGTGTATGTGTGCCAGCGAGCTTTCGCACATTCACCGTACCTTTTTTTGCCGCTTATTCGTTTCTTCGTTCGATTGTGTGCTTTTTTTACGTTGTGAGTTAAGAAAATTGTACACGCGCCAAACCACTATATATAAGCCGTAACTCTTTCCAACTGAAGCATTTCCAATTTGATTACGGATTCGAGAGTACCATCACCGAGTACTCTCTCTATCTGCCAAAGTGTGTTGTTTTGTGGTACCAAACGGAAACTGATCTACACATCACAACAAATACAAAGTGATTTGGATTTAAACTGTTTTGACAAAAAATTACCGATATTGTACCGGCTAATCACATTTATTTCAAATCAGAAGCAGTTTTGTGCAGCTCTAATTCTTGGATTAATTGTGCATTGGTGAACTTATTTGTGGCAATAATACAAACAAGAAAAAGAAGATTTAAGACCAAAAAAAGAAACACATTAAAATGCAATCTACTTTGGTAGTAAGTAAATTTCAATAGTGATTACAAATAAGACGTATACATATTTTAATTGAATTGTTTAACAGTTTTCCAACGAAAAAAAAACTGTGCAATTTAAAATTGAATCGAACAAAATGAGTGAGAAAAAGAAATAAACACCACGAGAAACAATCAACAACTCTCAATTACGAAAAAAAAAATATCCGTAAAAACGACGGGAATATTGAGTTTTGCTTTTGAACACAAGCTACATTTGATCCACTCCAACCAATTTGATGCAACTATGAAAGCCGGCTTGATATAGGCTCGTGACACTATTTCAACGCAAAGTGCAATTCCGACTTTCGTGTAAAATGATGTAATTACGGTTGCGTGTTTGGAGGTTTTTCATTTTGGCCATTGTTTGTGTGTTTGTGTGTGCGCGCGCCTTTGAAAATGAATTAATTTGGAATCAAACCGACCGTCGATTACATTTAAGAAGATGATAAAAAATGCATCTTTATTGTTTTTTTTCTGTTTTCAACAAAAACAAAAATATTTTATAAATTTAATTAATCTTTTTGCATGCCTTCACCACAAAAATTATCACCGTTATATTTCTTTCGCTCTCGCTCTGTTCAAAACAACGAATATTCACTCTGACACTGAAATCATTTTAAGCGCAATGAACCGTCTCCGCCAACCGTCGCTACCAACTCAATCATCCAAAAACAAGATTGAATTGCTTTGAGAACTGATTTGATATGCATTCAATTAGCACGCTTGTAGACATAAGCACATGTTTGATTCGAATATGCATATAAAATGAGTGAATTCAATAGTATTTTGTCTTGTTTAAAAGAGAAAAACAAAACAAACAAACGAATTGCATTGTTTTGCGTGTGTGTTCATTCTCAATGGATCACGAGAAGATTCATTCATGAGTATGTTAGCAGCGACGGAAGCAATGACGGAGGCGTTAAATTGCGAATAGTTTTTTTTGGTATGCATATAAATAGGAAAATCATATTTTTTTGTTGTTGACTACCTGAAAGAACAAAGCAATTCAAATCGTTCATTGCCTTTGGTAAGAAACAAACTTTTATCACATTGAATCAAAGGCAGATCATTTTGGCGTTCAAATTCAGTGGAAACTACGGATTATATGTAATAAAAAACAACAACGGAGTATATGTAATATTCGAATTAGGATTTAAAAAAAATGTACCGACAACAATCCATCGACAATTAACGTAGGTTTTGACAATTGACAATTCAACGTATTCGAAAGCATTTATAAGATACAAAAAATACAAATTAAAAAGGAAAGATATTATCATCATCTTATGAGCGATTGGATTTATAAGCGATTGGTAATCATTATTATTGAAAGCAAAAACTTATTGCAGCATAACAATTGGCAATAGGGCGATAGCGAAACAAAAAAAAAACCGCAAAAACGCACTCCATGTCGAGAATATCACAACTCACGCAAATAAATACACATTTTTCATATTATGTATGAGATAATTATACTATTATGAATGGGTTCACTCTGTTACCCATTAGAGATGTATGATGTGCGGAAGACATATAAATTTTTCGATTGTGTATTGAAGTTTGAATTGAAGTAGATGAAGAAGAAGCCAAATCATTATATATGATATATTCGACAAATGAATGTCAATTTAATAAGGTAGCGTTTTTCTTGATTGGTGGCCAAAACCGATGTTGTTTTACTCTTTTTCGATTGTATTGTAGCAATGTACCAATACCATTTTTTTTTATTTAAACATCCAAATTGGACCTTTCACTTAAATGAGTCTACTGTGATTTATCTGTTATGTGTAAATGTGTTATACGTATGGGAAACGTGTATATCGATACAAGCACACACACACACCAGAAAGAGATTGCATATTATATGTAATATATAGATAAATGTAACAGCGCGCGGGTGCACACGTTCGCACAATCTTCGAACGTTCTCTTCTCGTTGTTGGTATTATTATTATGAAGAGCGAGAGCAACCAGACAAACGAAAGTAAAAGTGAATTGTGGAAATTGTTCTTCGAATATTATTATAAATACTCTATCCATATTAAAGAGTTGATCGTTGACTCGGTAAAATGTTCATTTGAGCAGAAGACGTAAAATGATCATCATGTCCGATCTATGTTTTTAAGTGCACAATGTTTTTTTATCAATGCAAAGAGCATGTTTACATGATCACAATAAATTATATGCTCTATCTTAATGTTTGTAAAACCAACGATCAACGGCAATCAGTGAGAAAAATCTCACTCGGACCTGTTGCTGTTCGTTTGAAAACAATTGCTTAACAACATTCGGGCCCAATTCAATTTTATAGATAACAACAGAATTCCAACGGAAATATCTGTACTTTAAAAGACGAAGAAAGATGAAAAAAATAACATGCAACACAAATTCACTACAACATTAGTTCGGAATTTGGTATCGCTGTTTGTTTTTTTTCTTCGTTTTTTTGGTCTTGCTTTATTTCTTCTTCTTCTTTTTATGGAAGGCAACAAAAGTAAAATTATCTATTAATGCACAGAGCTTATATTTTTGGCAAGTCTTGTGTCAATGGATATAAAATGTAGATTTGATTGTAGATCACAATATAAACAAGTGAAAGACTACTTTGAAAAACACTTTCACTGGTCCCCGTGTGACACGACAAATACAACGACTTAATTTCGATTTTCGTGTTACACTTTATAACTCTTCCATTCCCATTTATCAAAGTCGGAGTCAAACATTAAGATCATAGAGAGAGAGAGAGAGAGAGAGAGAGAGAGAGAGAGAGAGAGAGAGAAATTCATTCATTGATTCATATCTTATCTGTACATGTTGTGTTTTGCATATTTCAGTTCACATTTTTGCTATCGATAGTAGTGGTGAGTGAAGCTGGCTACTCTAGCGGCGGATATGGTAGTTCATTCGGTAGTATTGGACATGGTTTCTCCGGTTTTGGTGGCAAAGAGCAGTAAGAATTATAATCATTTAGCATTCCATACAATTATATATACATATGTCAACATTGTTTTTGTTTGCAATGTTATGGCATGCAATTGAGAAAATTTGTCACGCTCACGTGGTTTTTATATTATAGCGTACACATTCGTATTCACATACCAGAAACTGTACACCATTCACATAGCACTCAAGAAGTTGTTTCACATGGCTATGGCGGCCATGGGCATAGCAGTTCATCAAGTCTTCCTGCTGAAGTAATTGGAAGCATTATCAGTGGTGGAGGTTCCTCCGGTGGTCATTATTCATCGTCTTCACATGGTAGCGGTGGATATTCACATGGCAGCGGTGGATATTCGCATGGTGGCAGCCATGGTCATTCTCATGGTAGTTCATCGGGTCTTCCAGCTGGAGTCATTAGTAGCATCATTACTGGTAGCAGTGCCACTGCTGGTCATTATTCACATGGCGGTGCTGGACATTCACGTGGAAGCAAATTGAGTCCAGGTAAATATAACTATTATTAGCATACGCAAAAGCGGCTGAACACATTGATCTATATCTATCGTGGAGAAATGAGGAAGAAGGCGCACAACAAATGCAATTCTTTTGTTTTATTTCGAATCATTTTAAATATCAATGCAATATCGTGGTGACATTTTAAAAAGACGGTAGTCGATTGTGCATATTATTATGCTGTGTGCTTGCCGAAGAAAATACTTTTTTTATTCATGCTTCAATGAGCACGCGCAATATTTATAAACATATTTGACCAAGTTGTATAAACATATTTGACTTTTGTTTTCACTCTTTTAGCCGCTATCGCAGCAATTGTAAGCGCAGCAACTAAAGGCAACGGGCATGGACATGGTCACAGTCACGGTCACGGTTCGTCCGGACATGGTTCGACTAAAACAATCATCATCAAATCAGGTAGAAATGAAATTAAATTTAAGCCAAATTGAAATTTCGAACATTTTTTTTTGATAATCTTTCTTGCATCTCATCAAGGTGGAAAGCATGGTGGATCTAACTACGGATCAAGTTATCACGGCTCGGGTGGAAACTCAATTTCGCCAGGACTCTTAGCAGCTATTTCCGGCAAACATAGCTCACATGGTTCACATGGCTCTCATGGTTCACATGGCTATGGATACAGTGGAAGAAGCCATGGCGGTATTGATACAGCAACTATTGTTAGTGCAGCTCTTAGTGGTAAGTAGTCTATGATTTGATTTGGTGAACATTGGATATTTTACGGGTTTTTCATTTCATGAATTGTTTTTTTTTCCCCAAAGATTGTTATTTGTGAAACAAGGTAGATAGTATAGCGCAAATGTTAAAAATAGAAAAAATTGAGCTCGTAAGATTTCAGTTGTGTGCACAATTGATAATTTGTCATTGCCATATATCTTTGTATTATGAACTTGTATTTATGAGATAACCGGTCTACATTGGTAGCGGCAGCGGCAAATTCGCATTTTGAGAACTTTATTACATCCCTTGTCGTATACTGACATAGACATGTTTCTTATTTGTATGCATTCCGCTATTTGAATCCGTTGTTATTTACAACAATTTACTCGTCAACGCTCGGCAACCTCTTCAAACGAAAATTGCGTGTTCTCAATTTCACATAGACGATTTGTGCCTTGATTCCTATTATAACCATTGCATTTGGGCAATGATAGTGAGTGGTTTCATAGTGAAAATTAAAATCTTTCAAGTGAAGGATTATGATATAAAAAGTTCATAATGTTGTTATAGTTGGTTATTGATAAACCAACTAAGTCTCGTTTGAATTAATCACCTCGTAATTTGTAACGATTGAATCTAGGGGGTAGACACAATAGAGAATGAATGAATACCAATGAATTGTCATAATACCTATCTATTTTCAAATACGACAATTACTTAATTATTTAAAGATTACTTGTACTAAAAATGTGAATACCGTGATTACCAAATGTCAAATTGATATCGGTAATAAAGATTTCAAGTTTTTTCCATTTCGTTTTAACATTCACCATTTCGAAATTTATTTTAATTTTTTCTGTTTTCTTTATGTTATTTTTATCAAAATTGTTTTTGCATTTATTAAACCAATTGAAATAATACACTTAATAGCGTTGAAAAAGTTTTTTTTAATATTTGGAAGATAATATTCACATATGCACATTGTGAGACGTTGCTGAATGCATTGACATTTGGTCTAAAACTGAGAATACCAAGAATACCAAGAATACCAAGAATACCTTCAGTTTCGGTGAATATCTCAAGTAATATTCCATGTGTCTACCCCCTAGGATTGAATTGCTCAAAGTATTGCTTAGTCTTTTTCACGCACTGTGGCTTATGTTCATTTTATTCATTTATTTCATTTATGTTATTTCTTCATTTTCAGGTGGTTCACATGGATACAGTGGTGGACACTCACATTCACATGGTGGATCCGGAATTGATGCTGCCTCTATTGTATCTGCACTTGCATCAAGTGGTGGACATGGTGGACATGGTGGACACTCTCATGGTGGATCAGGTATCGATGCTGCTTCAATTGTATCTGCACTTGCCTCAAGCGATGCGCACTCACATTCACAATCATACTCGCACGGTGGATCAGGTATTGATGCGGCCACAATTGTTTCTGCAATTGGTGCTAGCGATGAGCACTCACAATCACATTCGCACGGTGGGTCTGGCATTGATGCCGCCTCAATTGTCTCTGCACTCGCATCAAGCGATGGACACTCACATTCACAATCATATTCGCACGGTGGATCTGGTATTGATGCCGCCACAATTGTATCGGCTCTTGGTTCAAGCGATGGCCATTCACACTCATATTCTCATGGCGGTGGTTCAGGTGTTGACGCTGCCACAATCGTTTCCGCTCTTGGGGCTAGCGATGGGCACTCACAATCACATTCGCACGGAGGATCTGGCATTGATACCGCCTCAATTGTCTCTGCACTCGCATCAAGCGATGGACACTCACATTCACAATCATATTCGCACGGTGGATCTGGTATTGATGCCGCCACAATTGTATCGGCTCTCGGTTCAAGCGATGGACACTCACACTCATATTCTCATGGCGGTTCAGGTGTTGATGCCGCCACAATTGTATCCGCTCTTGGCTCAAGTGATGGATACTCGAAGTCTCATTCTCATGGTGGATCTGGCATTGATGCTGCCTCAATTGTGTCTGCACTTGCATCAAGCGATGGACACTCACACTCACAAGCACATTCGCACGGTGGATCAGGTAAACTCATATATACACCAATTTTCCAATTATGTTTATATGATCTTTTGAAATTTGCAACCAAAAATGACTGTATTATCTCTTCTAGACGTATGCATAACCGTTTGCTTTAAATAAGTAATATATTTCTCATTATTTGGCAATGTCATTTAAGGTATTGACAGTGCAATCATTGGAGCCATAACCGAAGGTGGACAATCACATTCACAGTCATATTCCAGTCACGGCGGTTCAAATATCGAATCATTGGCACCAATTGTTGGAGCACTTGGTGACAGTGGACACAGTCAATCATATGGAAACGGTCAATCACATTCGTCAGGTGGTTTCGATGCAGTTTCAATCGTAGGTGCCCTTTCTGATTCGCATCATGATTCGGGCGCATACAGCAATGGTGGTGGCTTGGATGTTGCTTCAATTGTTAGTGCTGTTGGCCAATCGGACAAAGGTTTGTTCAATTTATCATATTCAATTGTTTCGAAGAGAATCATTATTTTATATTTCGAATTTGCTAGGATACTCATCTCAGGGTCATTCAAGTGGTGGTGGTGGTGGAGGAGTAGATGTGGTACCTTTGCTCGGTGCCATTGGAGGAAGTGATTCCGGATCTAACTCGTACAGTCAACAATATAGCTCACAAGGTTACTCAAAAGGTTTGGATACAGGTGCATTAGTAAGCGCCATTTCTGATTCACACTCATATTCAGCTCCAGCCACATCGCAAGCTTATTCGGTATCACAAAGCTACGGAACTCCATCACAAAGCTATGGAACACCATCACAAAGTTATTCAACACCAACTCACCAAACTATTTCCATACAAACCTATTCAGTTCCGGCTTCGGCTCCATCCCAATCGTACGGCGCTCCATCCCAATCGTACGGCGCTCCATCCCAATCGTATGGCGCCGGATATGCTGAGCCAGTTTCAAATGGTGGATTTGTGGGAAGCCATACATTCGGCGGTGCATCAACAGATGCCTCATATGCAACTGGCCATAGTAGCTATAGTATTGGCAATCAAAACCTTGCTACTGCAACTGGTCATGATAACTATCAAGGCCACGACTCTTATCAAGCTCCTCCAAGTGGTATTCCATATTCAAATAGCGGTGACAGTACTGTTGCAGATGATGGGTATGATTACCCCAGACCATCCGACGGTCTATCGCATTAAGCGTTCATTTCGCAATCACCAGCAATTTGGTGATATTTTAAAGTTATTTAAATGCTAGGTTTTCTAATCAATGCTATTCATAAAATCAAGTGATTTTTTGCTGCATTTGAGGGGAACGAAAAAATTGCCATTGGATGTCGAGAAATTTACCTAGGCGTGATTAATTTCATTCTCCCTCTCTTTCTTTCTCTTTCTTTCTCTTTCTATATCTAGTTTTATAATTTTCAACACTGTTCATACCTCTTACTATCCCTCTTCTTTTCTTCTTGCTCCTTCCTATTCTCTCTGCCATCCATTTCTTATTATTTATTCACTTCAGTTGAATGGATGCAAGCTGAATGCAATTTTACACTCTCTATAGCAATATAATTCATAGCAGTTTTGATTCATCGAATCAAATTAATTACTCACGGGTACATATTCACATATCTCACACACTTCTAAAGCAACAGAATTCAGCGAAATATCATATTTTTTCTATTTCTTTCATACTTTACTCTTTCCATCTTTTCATTTTCACGCATCTATCATCCTCGAACTATTACCATTTCACATTTTTAGTTACCAACCACTGATTCTGATGTTGAAGTCGTTTTCATAACGGTATCAATATCAATTGCGTGTAACGAATTTGTTAAGTTTTTGTATCTATTTAAATTTATTAATTTAATGATATGCAAATTAGACTGTTTCTTGATAAAATAAAAATTTGTTTAAAAAATAAATAACTTTCTTCGATTTCTTTCTTGTTCAGCAAAATATTTTAATATTCAACAGTTTGGCATCTCTTTTTCGTGATATTTTAATAATCATTTACGATATTTAATCGTAATACGAACTAAAATTCGTCGAAATATTACTATTAATTCACGACAAATGTTAAAATATTAATGCAAAAAAAAAAAACGATTTCTTATATTTCAATATTCATCCAAAAAAATGAAGAGGTAAAAGTAATGAAAGTGGCAGAAAAATGTTAAAATATTTAAATAAGGTCGATCATCTAGTCCGATGGTTATTTTATCACCTGGTAAAAAACAAACAAAACAATTTTTGATTTTAGACCGTAAATCGTCTTAAAATTGACCGACGAAGCAGATTTTTTGAAAAGATGTGAATCAACTTCAATCAAATATGTCAAATAAATTCGTTTAATTTTTTCGCACATTGAACACTCATAGTAAATAAATGTAATTTTGTTATATAATATAATAAATATAAATTTGTTTTGCCCTGATTCCCCGGGAGTTGCTTTCTTCTTCAGACTTACCTGAACCATAATTTTCTTCGAAGAATTAAGTTTATATCTGAAATTCAACTCAAAGAAAATGTAAATAAATGCCCTTTGTTTTTATATAAAAATGACATGTTTTTAATCAGTTCTATTACAAGTTTTCATATGAGGTAGCATAGTTTTAGGAACATCATCTTCAAAACAATTATGTGAATTTGAATTAATAAATCGATGCAATATAATTCCACTATTAAATGAATTCTATCGTTTGAAGAAAATCATTTTTGATGCAAATAAATCTTAAGAAATAATTAAAACAAAGAAATATGTGTAGATCTTATTTTCTTGTTTTTTGAGTGAAAAATTAAATTCTGACTGTGGAAAAAAAATGAATAAGAAAAACAAATGTTGGATTCAAACATAGATTCTCACACATCGAGTACAGTGTGAATAGAATGGTTGATGTATTTTCAATTAATTCTTATGCACTGCGCACTGTTTGAGAGTCTATGGCGTCAAAAGATTTGTCTCTTATTCATATAAGTTAAAACTATTTTGTTGGCGATTTAGTGTATTCAGTTATTTCATTTACTCAAATGCTAATATTTAATTCATTAATACTTTCTTTGAAAACAATCAAGTGTGAAATTGGTGTCTGACATATGGTAATTTTCTAATCTTAATTAATCGATTTATGGGGCTTTGCGTGTTTCTCTGTTGCATTACCATCCATGATGAATAATGTATACCACTTTGCGTTTGCATTAATCCAGAGAAACGTTATTCGACAGTGAAGAATCTTCTTTTATTTGATGCTCAATCGATGATTTTTCGATGTATAGTCTACATTGTAGACCCTGAGGCAACCAATATAGTAATGAATTCGTCGATCCACGCCTGAGTCGTTTCACTGAGAAACAATGAAGGGAATATGATCTGTAAAGATAAACACGCAAACCGTTATTTAAAAATCATTGAATAATTTTCGTTTTACACATGTATAAAAGTTTAAAATATTTACAGGAATTTGGTAAGAAAAAAGGTAATTTTCTGATTGTTATTCACCGATAAGTTAAATAATTCGATGACATAAACTCGGAGATAATGATTTCGAGAACGCCCGCACTTTATTGCGATGAAATATTCGGAACATAATTCGATGCTTTCTTTGTGTCCGTTAAATAAGCCAATTAAAATAAAAAAATCACTAACTATTGAATTTTATGATGAAAAAATGAAATAAAAAAAGAAAAAAACTTAAAAGCAAGATGCCACTCGGTTCAGTGTAGACTGTTACTAAAATGAAATCGAAATTCTGTGTAACACTTGTGCTTGGCGTGTATAAATACTCACGCACACCAAAAAAAATAACAATATTTCGAAACAAAACCGCCCCCGCATTAAAATTACTATAACTTTTACCACCGGCTAAAATACAGCATGTATGCAGCATATCCAAGCAGCTGTCTCGCCATAATTACTAAAAAACCTTCTACGCATCACATTCTCAGATAGTCAGTAAAATATCCATTGGAAGGACAAACAAGGAGATCCATTTTGAAGTGGTTTTACGATCACTGTATGTCATATTAATTTATTTTATGAATTTAGATTTCTTTTCATTTAAATTGCGGTATTTTTTAAATTTGACTAGAAATTTTTATAAAAATGAAATAAACAAAACAAAATTATTGGAAATGAATAAAGGAAGCAAACCAAAATGAAATGAATATCGATTTTCTTTGTCATATTTGAATAAAACTCACTTTAACAAAACACCAATACTACTCGTACTTTGATAGAAATGAATATTTGGTAAGTAAAACCAAATACAATACGCTCAAATTTACCTGTGCCATTACCATATGAGCAGACGTGGTATCATGTATGCCTGTGTGCAATTGTTAAACATTTGTCTTAAAAAATATCGTTGATTTTCATTTTTGCCATTTTTTCGGGAAATCCCCCGTGAATTTTGAAGGACATGCTCTGCAGAAGAACACCATCGAAGTAATGACTTTATGATGATGTTATTTTGAAGGTACATTTTAGGTACAATTATTATCAGCCATAAAAATTTTAAAAATATCTTTGAGTTTTATTTTGGCTAGTTGACCGGCAAATTGAAGTGCCCCGAAATTTGAACCCCAAATATTAGCCAAACGAGTAAGGTACAATTAAAAATAAATTGCGGTACAATTAAGTACATTTTTGGTACAATTATTTAAACCTAGTCCCAAGTTTCGACTTTCACATGTGCGGACATTCGAATATACATCCCTTAACAATACACTCACATACACTCGCTTCATACAACAACCACCCTTCGAAGCGCCAAAGTATTACTCTTGATATTTAAAAAAGCAGCCCATTTTTTTCTTTTTTCTATATTGATCAATAACTTATTCTAGAATTTATTCTGACATTTTCAATATTTTTGTTTATTATTCGGTTTTTGATTCATCGATTGGAGAAAATGAAAGATAAACAGCAGATCACAATTATTTTCTTGATCTACTGTTCATGATGCTGTTTCATTGCTTAAAAAAGAAATGCTAATGAGTATTTTCCCTGATGGAGATGAAAACGAAAAATTACTGCAAAAAAAATTTCTTATACTTATGACTTTTTGACCCCTTTAGTGACCCCCTTCATATCCCTTATTTACAGTAAATCGTATTATCTCACACAGTTGTTTTGTGTTAAAGGTAGAATCACTTTTCGCTGTTTACTTCTGCAATACATAATTTGATATTTTTCATTAGATCGCCATCAACTTTTACCGTCGCCATACTACATTTCTTAAACTGGTTCAAACGACATGTTAAATATACCAACAATTGCGCAGCGTTTCTCATTAATTTCGAGCACAACATTATTTCGTTATTTTAAATCAGGGCCTGATTATCAGGGAAACAGTCACTGTCTTAAATGCACTTCAGGATTATGTAATGTTCTTAACCATGAGAAAATTGATAATTTTTGGAATGAAATTATTACAGCTGAGCAACGATCAGGGACATCTTTCAAATTCACAAATTTGTGGATGTTGTTATCAGATAATATATTTAGCTGTCGTCATCTGGATATTACAGCTCATCTGGATATCGTCAGCAGATGATATGAAGTGAAAACAATAGAAGTGATTGTTATAGGTATATAAGCTTGTTATATACTTGTATTACTATAACAATCACTTCTATTGTTTTCACTTCGCATCATCTGCTGACGGCATCCAGATGAGCTGAAATATCCAGATGACGGCAGCTAAATATATTGTCTGGTTGTTATTGAAAAAATGCTTTAAACAAATTGATATTAATTCATAATTTTTTACCCATTTGTACTAGTAAACATCAGACAATATATTTCGATTTTGTCATCTGGATATTTCAGCACATCTGGATAACGTTAGGCGATGATACTGATTGATATAGTATACATATAAAAATACTACCATAACTATAACAATCACTTCTATTGTTTTCACTCCGTATCATCGCCTAACGTTATCCAGATGAACTGAAATATCCAGATGACAAAATCCAAATATATTGTCTGGTAAACATGTAATGCATTAATCATCAATATTGTAAATTATAATTATACAGCGTGAAGCCCAGTAGTTTGCACCATCAATCATAATATAATTTTTTAATAATAACGCTCGCCAATGTGATGTTGTTACACTCAATAAATATCACTATAGTTGGGTTAAATATAGCCAAATATATTTTGTTTTTTTTACGATATATTCTCATGCTTTATACTAAAGAAAAGTTGAGCTAAAACAAAAGAAGTGGTTGTTCATTATAAGTTATAACAATAACTAACAGCTAAACAAGACTATGGGGTCTGAAGAATCACCATCATCAAAGAAAAAAATAATAAAACATTAGTTTGAAAAGAGAAAAATCATCTTTATTTGTTATAACAATGCTGTTTCGTTGTTTTATTGACTGTTTGTTTTGGTTACTTCACGTTTTTAAGTCGAAATAAATCTAAATAAGAAGAGTGTTTATAATTTGTTGCTGAATATTATAAATTTATTTCATATTAACAAATAGAACATCTCGAACAAAATACTGTGTGTGTGTTTTTTTGCAAAAAAATTGATATATTTTTTTTGCTGGATTATGTTGTGTTAACATTTATTACTCACAGAAAAAGTGGAGGCGGTTTTTCCGCAAATTATTGTAGCAACAGCAGAGCTGCAATAAAAACGTGTTTCTTGTAGCTTATTTTGACAGCTACGTACAAGTGTGTGTGTT